CTCCGGGGCAGGCGGGAATCAAACTCATGCGGAAGTGGCTTTAGCTTCTCAGTGCAGTGCTTTAACCCGCTGCGCCACCAGGGAGGGCCCAAAAAAGCCCTTTTTAAAAAAGATTTATTTATGCATATAAGAACTAGGGAGTAGGCCAGAGGTAGAAGAGGTGGAGGGAGGGTAAGAGGTTTTACCATATTCAGAGAGGGGAGCAGAACAGATGGTCTGATGAAAGGAGCAGCAGGTGAGACAGGAGAGGTCTCCTGCGCCACATGGGTTAGCTTCTTGATCAGGGATCAAACTCATACCGCAGAGGCTAGCAACAACCCGATAGCACTGAGACTTTAATCCCTATGTCACCAATAAAGGCCATTTTTAAGGAAAGTGAGTAGGATCAAATTTTACTATCCTAGGCAAATTCTAATATCCAAAGATCCCAAATAACTTTTCTTATCCACTTTTTATAGTTTTATAACTAGTGGAATAGAACTTGTCTTTTATTATAAATGAATCTCAAATATTTAGGCATTAAAATAATTTTTGAAAACTAAAAGAAAACCTGCCACGCTATGTTTACTGCAGCACTACTTACAATAGCCAAAATAAGGAAACAACCTAAATGTCCCAAAACAGATGAATGACTCAAGAAGTGGTACATATAAATAATGAAATACTCAGTGATTAAAAAAAGGTAAACTCATGCCTTATGGCAACATGGATGGAACTAGAAGGGATTATGCTAAGCAAAATAAGAAGGAAAAGATGACTATCGGATGATTTCACTTGTAGACAAAATATACAAAAAACAAACAAACAATCAGGAAAAAGACAAAACTTGCAAGATCTGAGGTGTCCAGCAGGAGAAGGGCAAGGATAGGGATTTTATAACAGAGAAGAAAATACACCAAGAACTCTGATGATGGAACACAGGTGCTATGGTAGTGGGAATGCTAATGGGACTACACCTTAGGGGAGAAATCAAATACTGCTTGAAAATTAGCAACGATCTTAAATACCATTTTTTTTTTTTTAAATTTAGGGATTTCCATTACTAAAGAGTTCATTTAATATACAATTTAAGAAATTATTTCCCAGTTTAGTTTTCGGCATTGTTATATTCTCAATCAAAAATGCAATGTTCAGGCCCTCTGTAGTGGAGCAGTGGGTTAGAGCGCAGCACTGCAAGCAAGCCACAGCTGCTTCAGTGCAAGTTAGATCCCCGCCCGGGAGGTGATGCAGACCTCTCCTGTCTTGCCCACTGCTCCCCTCAGCAGTGTACGCAAGTGTACTTCATCGATCTGCCTGTTCTGCTTCCTACTCTGTGTCTCGTGAATCTTCTCTATCCCCCCTGCACCCCTGGCCTGTACCCCAGGTCTATATGAATAAATTAATCTTAAAAAAAAATACAATGTTCATTTTCCCCAATTTATTACAAAACCAACAGAACTAGACAAGGCCAAGTCATCCAGTGTAGTCACTGCTAGGGTTTTATTTTATTCAAAAAAAATGTAGCTGGAAAGGACACTTAACTTTTAGCTTCAGAATACTTCTGCCTATGCCCTAGCTTACTAACCTGGAAACCACTAAACAGCTCCAATCTTCTATTAATTTTTAATACCCTGAGATCTACCATTTACTTTTGAAAATGAACTTACCGAAGATTCACTATCACGAATGAGGAAATCACCTTCACGCCCTCTTTCATTTAATGCCATTTCTGCTTGATGCCTGGTGACTTTTCCATAATACCAGGGATTGCCAGCAAACTTTCCAGTGCGTGAAGGCCTGATGTAATCACACTGTGGAGGTGATGGTTCCAAAACTGCAGTTAATGGATTGTTCTGCATAACAGTAACGTAGTTTTTTGGCACGAGACCAATCACTCCATTGATCTTCCGGCATTTCCACCACTCGGGGTCATTTTCAGGTTTTTCAATAACATCCATTATATCTCCTTTCTCAAAATTAAGTTCTTCATCATTGGATGAGCTGAATGGATAAAGAGCCTGGACCACATGCAATACTTGCCCAGTACTGAGGTTATTAACAACAGCTGCTAATTTCTCTGACAGGGAACCCACATGGTCACCTAAAGGACTGTCTCCTTCTTCAGTCACATAATTGGAAGGGAACCATCCAACTTGTCCATTGTAGCTACCCCGCCACCACCCATCACTGCATTTCTCCATGACGATCACCTTTGTCCCTTTTATCAATGATAATTCATCCTCTCTCTCTGCCATGTAGTTAAATTTCACATAAGCAGGCATGTTGAGGTCATAGAGACGTTCCCCTGGGTCAACAAAACTATCATCAGCGGGAGATGCAGAATCTGGCACACTTGGTTTTCTTTTCACTTTTCCAATACCTATTTTAATGAAAAAGAAAATCTTAATAAAAAAAAGAATGTAAGACAAAGATGACCCACAAAATCAAATGAACTCATTAATACGAATCTTCAACTCTGTACTTCTCTTAAGGCTTTAAGCGATGATAGCGATGATAGATTTTAGAGGGCAAAGAGACACTCAGATGTCTTAGAAATTTAGGTAATCAATTGCTATGTGGTACATAATTTTCCTTCTTTTTTCATGTCAAAAGCTGTGAAATAATTGCCTAAAACAATTATAAGGTTAATATAAATGAAATTTTCTCTTAAATATAGTTTCTCTCACATTTACAATCTAAGTACATAACATCTCCACCAATCTCATATTCTTTGTCTTATTATACTGATGTAGATACTATAATTATCTTTATAGAAATAAAACAATTTATAATTTTTATGCAACCTAAAATTATAACTATGTCTGTTAATAATCCCATTTGCGTTCTTAGTTCCTAGACTCAGATGACTCCATTTACCTATGTTTACATTAAAATATTTACTTTTTTAATCTCCTTTCAGTCCATTCACATGTAAATTTTACAGGAGAAAGGAACTTTGTTTAATTTCTTCATGGATCTAATCCTTAGGATCTCAAAAGTGCTTAGCAAAAGTGCTTTACAATTGTTGGAAAAATGAGAAAATTACCAAATGTACATTATCATAAATGTATGTATGCTACAGCAATTTCTGTCAGGCATGTACACTATTCTCACTTAGAAGCACAAGATCTGTGACCTACTTTTAGAAAACGAAGGCATCCCTAGATAAAATTTCTCAAACACTTTCTCATTATCTCAAAATTCTCATTAACCTCATACTATTTCTTCACTTATGTTTTCTTCTAGGTTCTTAATGCCATCTTGTTGGCCTCCCATCTAACCCCTTAAATTACCTATATATACACTCAGATCTTTCCTATTCCAAAATAAAGGGCTTTTTTTGTTACAACTTTCAAATGATACCATTCTTTTTAAAGTTTTCCTTCAACTTTTTCATCATTCATTTCTAACTCATTGTAATTTAATCCTCTATCTCAACCATTGTATCAAAACTACTCAATGAAAACAATTCAACGAAAACTTCCATCTCAAGTACTTTTTGAAGATTATTTTCAAAATCTATGCAGCAAACCAAGATCATGAATTATTCTCTCCATTATTTTCTCCTTTCTTAATTTCCTTGAATGTGTTCTGTTTTCCTCATTTCATTATTCTGTGTGGCATCTGTCTGGGCTTCTCTAAACCTTGTTATAAAATACACTGTACTTGTTTATTTGTCCATTTTCCTTCGTAAAACAGTGAGATTCCTGAAGGGAGAAAACTGGACTTATTATCTTTTATCTCTAATGCTTAACAATATCTACACTAGCAGAAAAAAGTGAATAATGAATGAATAAGCAGGTTATCTCTTAGTTGAAAGATGTCACACTATTTCACTGAAAACCATACAGTTCATTTTCTGTAACTCCTGTACAGAAGGTTTCAATTTCTCCATGCAGCTGTAAGTTCATTTTGGAATTCAGATATAGTAATTTCAATTGCCACTATATTAGTATTACTTCAACAAGCATCACATACATATCCAAATAAATGACCTCTCCTATATCCATAAACTCCTTCCTTCCCAAGTTCTGACTTAAAAGTTAAAAATAACATCTTGAGGGCCCTCCCTGGTGGCGCAGCGGGTTAAAGCACTGCACTGAGAAGCTGAAGCCACTTCTGCATGAGTTCAATTCCCGCCTGCCCCGGAGGTGACCACATGGCGTGGCAGACCTCTCCTGACTCGCCCGCTGCTCCTCTCAGCAGTGTACTTCGTCGATCTGCCTGTTCTGCTCCCCACTCTGTCTCTGGTGAAGCCTCTCACCGCCCCTGAGCCTCTGGCCTGTACCCCAGTTCTGTATGTACAAATAAATAAATCTTTAAAAAAAAAAATAACATCTTGAAAAATCCCCATGTCAAAGGATTTCTGGAGGAGTAGGGAACACCAGAGCTCCATTCTACCAAAAAATAAGTTAGGTAGGTGATAAATGTTATAAGAATCAACTTCTCAAAAACTGTAATCTAGAAAACAAAAACTTACAAAACCTAGGGCAAGGCATGGTGAAATCTTTGCAGTAAGACAGTAGCATAGTACTTTAAATTACCTGCCCACCATCTCTAACACTCCAAATCAGTGGTGGCTATGGTGACAGTAGTCTGCACACTGAATGGGAGAGAGCACAAACGAGCACTAAAGACAGCAATCACATGTGCATGTGCACAATACAGATCTTTTTCCAAAGAAATGATTATGGATTTCAACATCTCTGGTGGAATGGCTTGCTTTGGTTTTAACAGACTTGGAGCTTTCCCTGGGCTAGGATGACTTTAGCTAAAAATCACTTAATTATTGCAATACCCTGGGGCAAGGAACAATTGGGACAAGGAACAGAGAGGCTGAAAACCATGTGAAGTTGGAGTTGTAGAAAGGAGGGGAGGCAGGGTAGATAACAACTAGGGGTTTTCAAAAGCTCTGTGTATACCAGAGAATCAAGACAGCACAAAAAGCAGAGGGAGTAAGAGGGGAGCATGCTCTGAGAAAATCTAAGCAGACCCTAAATGTTCACTTATAGCTGACGTCAGGTCCTGAAGAAGCAGAAAATGGTACATAGAGTTGTAGAGTACATGTTTAAAGAGTAATTTTTCTTTTTCCTTTGGTTCTAGGAGCTTAAGGAGACTCTCAAAACTCTAGTTGACCAGTAAGAAAACAGAACACAGACGCTGGTAGTCATATATCACAAAAAACATAGGTTTTATAAAAATATTTTAGAAAAGGCAGTAAACAAAACAAAAACAATTCATAAGAAGAAGCAACAATAAGGAGGGTTGAATCTGATGCTGAAAAAACATCAATCAAGAAATCTATAGCCAACAAAACTGCCCTTAACACTGAAGGGCAGACAGTTCCAGATAAAAGTTTGAAGGAACCTATCATACTAAACAGAAATGCTAAAGGGAGTCTTCTGGCTGAAGGATATTAAACTACCTTTGTTATATGAGGTAGTGAAGAACAATGGAAAACTGCTACCTTTGCAAACATAAAAGCCAGTAGTATTTAAATTTTAGAAAGATAAGACTCAGCTAATTACTAAGGGGGAAAAAACTATATGGAAAAGTGAAACATTTGAAAAAAAGTTGAATTACAAAAGGCAACAGTACTGAGTTAAAAAAAAAAAAAACATGACATACACAAAACAGCATGAATAACTACTTACATAAACTTCTTAACATTTAAATATATATATAGAAGATGGTGGCAAAGTAAAGATTCCAGGCTCACCTCCTCCAGATAATACCAACTATTACAGTAAAAAAGCACAAAAAAATTCTGAGGGGAAAGTGAGTGACTTCAGCTCACATTAGGGACAAATATCCAGTGAAGAGTTGTTGGAAATCTGCTCATAGTGACAAGTGAGAGGGTAGCTTAATGCACAAAACCTTTCATAAATGTTGATTTGTATACACACATAAGGGGTGTAACAAGTTGGACCTACATGGAAGATGAACTGTTGGAGAGCTGCAAGAGTGGGGGTAGAGAGTAAGGATTACTGATTTGAGCTTCAGATTCTCAATAAAGAACACATAAAGACTGATTCATAAGGGAGAAATAGATCAGAGCACCTAGATCTTCTCAAAGAAGAGCCTACTACTCAGACTAAGCTAAGATATTCAAAATAGTTGTCAACCCCCAACCAAGTCCAAAACACTAAACAAGTGCTCTAATCAAAATAAAGGACCACTTAAAAAAACCAGAGCTCAAGAACCTGTTAATAACAATAGCAAACACCCCAGGATAAGATTTTGTGTTGGAAAAGAGAACAAATCCTGGCCTGTGACCCCATTATCAACTAAAATCCATGCCCCAAATTGCATCTAGTGTTTAAAACTAATCGGCGTGGAAGTGGACTCAATGTCAAGGTGCTGGTCTATTGAAGGGGATTACTGTGAATTCCCACCACATCACTCTGATATCTACAGAACAATAGGATTGAATTCCTGATATTTACTGTAAATAATCCTTTGGTGCCCTATTGTTTTGGACCTCCTTTACACCAAACAGGTCTTTTAATGGTACTAGATCTGCAGAGACAATAGTGGAAAAGTCTATCCCTATCATGACTCATACAAAATTTAAAATGAGACAGAAAACACAACATAAATGTCATCACAAAAAAAAAAATCTGAGAGAAGCCCCAATTCACTAGAACTATAGAACATGACAGAAGAGGAGTTCAAGGTTACAGTTCTACCAATGTTCTGGAATTGAGAGTAAAAAAAAAGAGAGAGGGAAAGGATATTAAAAAATAGAATAGAATTAGTAAGAAAAAATGAAGTGGCTACAATTAGAAATAACCAATGAAAAACAATAGCTAATTTAAAAAATACAAGTGAAGGTATCAACAAGAGAAAAACAAAGAACGAGTCTGAAAACACAATGGTGGAGAAAAAAATGTAGGAAAAAAAAAGTTGTGTAAGAGCCCTTTGACACAAATGAAAGAGAAATAAAGGGGTACCAAAAGGAGCAAAGAAAAACATATTTAAAGAAATAACTGCAGAAAATCATTTCAATTTGGAAAACAAACCAAATACTGTGATCCAAGAGGCCCAAAGAATTCCAAACAATACCTACACACCTTGACACATAATAGTAAAGCTGCTGAAACTAATCACAAGGATTAATATTCAAAACATTAAGAGAAAAAAGGGCAAGGGAAAAAGGGACATCAATTAGACTTTATGAACACAAAGGAACTAGAAGGTGATATTTAAACTACTTAAAAAAAATAGACTTATAGCCTGGAACCCTTCACCCAGCAAGTTAGAATAAAGAGAATAAAGAACATGGAGTTTTGCTGAAAAGTAAAAGCTAAAGGTTTTTAGCAACATCAGGTGATACGCAAAAATATTTTAAAGGGGTGATTATAAAGCAACAGAACAAGA